AACGATGAAATTTGGCCGATTTTGGGGGTTTGGAAGGACTTACTAAAACCGTTACTGTAGGCATACCGTAAGTGCGATAGAGTTGCCCTTTTGTAGGTGGGTAGCCAAGATCTGGTTCTACACGGCACACTAAACCAGGATTCCGTATCTCATTTGGTTCCAAAGTTACAGCCGCTCAAAGTTTGAGTTTTTTGGAAGAAAATAGACCTAATTTGCTCAGTTTTTCCGCTTTATTTTTTCGCCAAAATGCAGGAAACAAGTTTGAATCAAATTTCCGACCTCCTTCGGTCCCCCCAAATCGATTTCAACCAAAAAAGAGAAAAAAAAAATTGGGTCGAAAATTGAAAATTTCGCTGATCAAAACGATGAAAATTTGGCCGATTTTGAGGGTTTGGAAGGACTTACTAAAACCGTTACTGTAGGCATACCGTAAGTGCGATAGAGTTGCCCTTTTGTATGTGGGTAGCCAAGATCTGGTTCTACACGGCACACTAAACCAGGATTCCGTATCTCATTTGGTTCCAAAGTTACAGCCGCTCAAAGTTTGAGTTTTTTGGAAAAAAATAGACCTAATTTGCTCAGTTTTTCCGCTTTATTTTTTCGCCAAAATGCAGGAAACAAGTTTGAATCAAATTTCCGACCTCCTTCGGTCCCCCCAAATCGATTTCAACCAAAAAAGAGAAAAAAAAAATTGGGTCGAAAATTGAAAATTTCGCTGATCAAAACGATGAAAATTTGGCCGATTTTGAGGGTTTGGAAGGACTTACTAAAACCGTTACTGTAGGCATACCGTAAGTGCGATAGAGTTGCCCTTTTGTATGTGGGTAGCCAAGATCTGGTTCTACACGGCACACTAAACCAGGATTCCGTATCTCATTTGGTTCCAAAGTTACAACCGCTCAAAGTTTGAGTTTTTTGGAAGAAAATAGACCTAATTTGCTCAGTTTTTCCGCTTTATTTTTTCGCCAAAATGCAGGAAACAAGTTTGAATCAAATTTCCGACCTCCTTCGGTCCCCCCAAATCGATTTCAACCAAAAAAGAGAAAAAAAAATTGGGTCGAAAATTGAAAATTTCGCTGATCAAAACGATGAAAATTTGGCCGATTTTGGGGGTTTGGAAGGACTTACTAAAACCGTTACTGTAGGCATACCGTAAGTGCGATAGAGTTGCCGATAGAGTTGCCTTTTTGTATGTGGGTAGCCAAGATCTGGTTCTACACGGCACACTAAACCAGGATTCCGTATCTCATTTGGTTCCAAAGTTACAGCCGCTCAAAGTTTGAGTTTTTTGGAAGAAAATAGACCTAATTTGCTCAGTTTTTCCGCTTTATTTTTTCGCCAAAATGCAGGAAACAAGTTTGAATCAAATTTCCGACCTCCTTCGGTCCCCCCAAATCGATTTCAACCAAAAAAGAGAAAAAAAAATATGGGTCGAAAATTGAAAATTTTGCTGATCAAAACGATGAAAATTTGGCCGATTTTGGGGGTTTGGAAGGACTTACTAAAACCGTTACTGTAGGCATACCGTAAGTGCGATAGAGTTGCCCTTTTGTATGTGGGTAGCCAAGATCTGGTTCTACACGGCACACTAAACCAGGATTCCGTATCTCATTTGGTTCCAAAGTTTGTGTTTTTTGGAAGAAAATAGACCTAATTTGCTTACGGTATGCCTACAGTAACGGTTTTAGTAAGTCATTCCAAACCCCCAAAAAGGTCAATATACTTTAATAGGATTTGTTTAATAGAAACAATAGTTATGTATGTAGTGCAGACTATCAAACCTGTGTCAGTTATTCAACATATAAAAGATATAGATGTGGATGTATAAATCATAACGACAAACAAATATATCTCAATTTAAATCATATAAATAAACTATCTGACATGCATTGTCGAAATCAATGGTCTTTGTACAAATTCTGTGGAAGCAGACTGAATTATTCCTGAAAAAGTGTGTTTTTGGAGAAATGAGCTTTTGAACAAAAGTTGGTGAGTATCCGTTGGTTTAAAATATACTTTGATATCTGCCTTACTAATTACATTAAAATCCGGTCCTTTGAATACTGTTGTGTCGAGAAAGTCAATGCTATGTTCGCTGTGTAAGTAATAGTTTTAAATCAAATGCAGACAAACCGAATGTCAGTTTATCATTCTGAAAAATAACACGGTTATTTGTTTAGAACGATTTTTACAGATGGTCCAGAGAATATAAGATTGAACCCTACTGGTGATAATATAGATGTTGTAGAAGGAAAGTGTCAGAATGTCAACTGTTTAGCTGATTGTAAACCAGATTGTAACATCACCTGGTCTAAAGATAGTTCAACAACAATTCTAAATAACCCTTTATCACTTAGTACTAATCAAACTGATTCTTTTAACTGTACAGTTAGACATACTGTATTAAATAAACAACTTACAAAACAACTTAATGTTCAGATTTATTGTAAGTATATAATACTCTATCAATACACACTAGACAGCAAACTGGTTCTTATAACTGTACAGTTACACATACTGTATTAAATAAACAACTTACAAAACAACTTGTTCAGATATATTGTAAGTATACTAGGACAATCCAAGTGCAAGCGCGTACAGGGGGCTGTCTGTGGAGGAATGTTCCCACTGCAGCAATTTTTTAAAATTTAAAGACTGAATTCGCGCGATTTTGTGTGTACTTTTTTGTAAATTACTTGTTATGTCACTCAATACTACTTCTAAATACTTAATAAATAAATACTGAACAACAAACTGACTCTGATACCTACACAGTTAAACATACTGTATTAAATATACAACTTACAAAACAACTTAACATGTTAACTGATGCATATTATTTCAGATGGTCTTGATTAATTTACATTTTAAGTATATAATTTATTTTATGACCCCACTTCTCTATGTCAATGTACAATCATAAAATAAAGAATTCATTCTCTGATAAGTAACAGGGTTATTGTGATCGATCGAAAAGCTACTTTTAAATAAATACAAAAGTCTTATTAGATATCTTTCAAAAGGTATTGCTGAAAGACTTCAGCTTTTGATCTTTCGCAGTCCCTTTGGTCAAACACAATTTTTAATCACCGAAAAATCCTTGAATTAATCGTATGCTAACAACTGATTTGTCCAAACATCACAAAAATCTATAGACAGCATCCTTTGCACGGCCTAAACCTATAAAACTGTGGGGACATTATTTTTTGTTTGTATGGGCATATACAATTCTGATTGTGTTAATTAAGAATTAATTGCTTTACCTCTGCTCCAGATCAACCTGATAAAACCAGTATAACAACTGATGCTGTAAATAACACAGCTGATGAAGGTTCTGATGTTATATTTAACTGTAATGTTGATAGTAAACCAGTATCTACTATAACCTGGTCATCTTCTACTAGTACTGATACTTACACTGGTCAACATTTGACATTAAATCAGGCTAAATGTCAGGATACAGGAATCTAAACATGTACAGCTAATAATGGTATTGGTCAGCCAACTACTAAATCTTTACCATTAAATATTAGATGTAAGTATATATACGTGGCGCTTTACTTTTTGTTCTAGGTATATAAATTCAGTATATTATAAACTATACATAAGCTAATATTTGTATTGGTTAGTAAATTACCAAGTCTTTACCATTAAATATAAAACGTAAGATATGTAGTCAGCATATTATAATATACATGTATAGCAAATAATGGTATGAATAAATCGTAAGTGCCTCCAACCTGCAAATAACTTTAATTACTGAAAAGTTTAAACTGCTCTGATCATTAAAATAACATTTATTCAACTTGAATATGATTTGGTTTCCATCAGTGAGTCACGCAGCTTTATATTTACTCTCATTTTTCTATTTTAAAGGTCGCCCAATACTTAAAGGCGAATTGAAGAAAGAAATTAGAGGAAAAATTGGAGAAATGGTAATATTAGAAAAAAATATAGAAGCTTATCCTGAACCAAGTTTTCTATGGAAACAGTTGATATCTGATATAGAATATCCCTTTGCTAAAACCGAGAAAGTTTCCGAAATTAATTTTATATCCACATTAGAATTGATATTGGACCGATCGTCGTTTGGTTATTATATAATTACTGTACAAAATGTTATTAATGGGGAAACAAGAGCAAAAACCTGGGGAATTAACATCATTGAACAAGGTAATTCGATTTATCACGGTTTGTAATTAGTATTCTTCTGACACTTTCATTTTATATTAACGTTAGAATTGACAACAAATTATTTTTATTATGGTAAAAAAAAAAATCTATTTTTGAATTGGGTTTTATAATTATTTTTACTATTTTTTTTCTCTGAATCTGAGAAAGAATTTCAAAGAGTTTTCAAGTATTACGAATACGATTGATATCATGCATGCATTATGAGCTGGCTTTATCTCAATTCAAATGACATTGATTAATTATTTTAACTACCTTATGATGATTATTCAGTGGAATGCATGGATAGTTTGTTTATGTTATAGAAGTAGAAGTGGATTCTGTTGATAAATCAGGATGTCATGAAGGTGTAGGAACTGGTATTGGAATTGGTATTGGAATATCTGTTGTTTGTTTACTTCTGGTTTTACTGACAATATGTATATATAGAAAACATCTTGCAGGTATTGATCATAAATATTATGATTGGTTTTGCTGGTGATTTTTATAGAGTTGCAATTAAAATTTGCTTTTTCTATGTATTTTATTTTGCTCACATTTACTTGAAATGAAGAAGAATTATATCAGCCACATAAAGTAAATAAATTATTATTATTAGGCGAATGAAGGTTATGTAAATGATGTATCCTATGTAGGCAAATCAAATATTACATATTACATTGTATAATATAAATTTACTTTGTAGCCAAGAAGAAGGTTCCAGAAGAAAGGTCAACTAAACTTTTATTTGATAAATTTTGATACATATCTCAATCTTAGAATAGTTCTCTCATTTTTAATAATGGGAATTGTTAAGTAATAATAAAATAAAGTGTAAAGTTGTTTTTGAATACAAATTACAATTTATAATTTTAACAGTTCAGGTGCAGATATGCGAGAAAATCAATCAAATTCTTTTACTTTCAGGTATGCAACGTTTTCTAATAGAAATGCAGAAGGCATTACCAAAGATACATATTTTCTGCTTTTTGTTAGTCTCTGCTAATACATATGAAATACCAAAATCTAAATATGGATTCAATTGAAACCTAGGAGTAATTTTTATACGCCCACGTGAAATGGGGGTGAGGGGGCGTAGTGTCGTCATCAATGTCCGCCTGTCCACAATTGTAAGTAAACACTCTAGAAGACACATCTCTTGACTGATTTTGTCGAAACTTGGTATGATTTTTGGTGATCCATCATGGATGAACCCTAGCGAAAATCAAAAAAATATTTATAGGAGTTATTGTTCTTGAAAACGCTTTCAATTTTTAGCTTGTTAACACGATTCTTGTCGGAGTTTGACAAAACTTGGTAATATTATTCAGTATTGCCCCAAAAAGTTCAAATACGTGTATGACTGAAGGTTGAATATTTCATACTGGTGATTGTTACTGTACTGCTAAATATTTTTATTCAAAATCAAAGCTGCCATCAGGCGTATAATAACTTGCCTGGCAAGCTATCTTCTTATATGTACTGAATTGCGTAATTGGTATACCTGAAGTATTTAAAGCGACACAGAATGAAGTACATGTTATATGAACTAATATGAAAATGACTTTCATTTTCATTGAAATCAATTCCTTTGTTTCATATTCATGTTTGTAAGTAAGCCTATCAATTTTGGTTATTTATCTCCCTACAGATAGAACATATGAAGATTTAACTAATCGTCCTGAAGTTTTTGAGAACAATCAACACAATTCTGGAGATGTAAAAGTATACGAAAATATGTGAATGGAAAAGAAAAGGCAACAATATATCTATTTGTTTGTAGCTGTAAGATTAACTGAAATTTAAGAAAAAAGTCTGTGTTACTACTTATGTAACTATTATAATTATAATATATATCCATGTATTCATGAAACTACTTATGTAAATGTTATTTTTTGTGTTAATTTTTAAATAGCTTTATATTCACTATTGATATAATCTATATAAGTTAACCACACCTTAACTTAACTTCAACATAGTCACGTTACTATTGAATTTTAGGAGAACCAGATATTTCGGATATTTCAATTATGAAAAGTGATATGAATTGCTTGAATTTAGCTGTATCAGCTGTAAAAAACAATATTTACAGGCTAACACCCCTTTAATCACGATAGAACTCACATTGAAGTTTCATTCTTGAAATGTGCTGAACACATATAATAAAACGAATCTCTATAGTCCCTGTTTTGTGGCGTCACCCATTACAGTACGTATTCTTACAAATTTATTTATGTTCCTTGAAAACTAATAACGCTCTTCATATGTTGATCTTGCATTTGGTATATCTATTCTTCAATCAATGTAAAAAATCCATGAAATGCAATTAATTTGAATTCTCTCTTGTAGGAACCCCGTTACAAAACAGTTGAGGTGTAGACTTTTCTCTTCTTGGTATAACCGTGTAAGTTAAGCCTAACCCTCGACTGCATTGGAGTACAGTCAGGACATTGTAGAATATACAATAAATGTCTTGATTGACCTTGATTTTGTATCGATACCAAAAGTAATCCAAAATTTGGTTTTTGCCATGATGAAAATTCTCAAAAACTAGCCATACTAAAATTGTTCTGTACAACTCCCATAACATATTTTGTGTCTGACCCTAAACGTAACGATCTCTTTCCAAACCGTATATCTATGAAATAAGAATGTCTCACATCGAACATAAAACATGGATATTTCTATAATATGGGACAATTTCGATCGAAATTTACTGTAGGGAAGAGTGTTCCTATTAAATTGAAATTGATAAATCCCGAAAACAAACATTCTAAGACTCTCAGTGTTATTTAACTATTTTTTCAATTCTCATTAATCACATTCAATTTACTCAGTAAAATTGTGAAGACAGTAGTTCATCATAGTAAATTTTTGGTGTAATTTATATCTGTCAAGATAATGTCCATCAAACTTTAATATATTTGATTAATGCTTCTGTTTAGAAGTGTTTCTTTTCATATATCAATTGCTTATCAATTTGTATATAAACAAGAGGAACATAATAGCCACTTCAGTTAGGGTGTAAAGACGGGCCTCTTAAACATTCTCACCACTCAAATTTCTGTCTTCACCAGCGCTGGCATTTTTGAGAGAGTGGAGGAATTAGATTTGTTAAAGCAGACGTCATCAGATTAAAAGGGTTACTTTGAAATACAGTCATACCCATGGAAAATAACAGACAAAAATTTTCCAGTACAGTTGAAATTTGATTTCAAATTATCGAGAGATTTTTAAAGTGCCTCAGTCCCATCCGAAAGACTAGACGCTTTTTCAATGTCAGCCTCTCTTAATGCATCGCTGACACGGGGAAACCGTCTTTAGAAATCCGAAAGTATTATCTCGACCTATGCTTGGATTGAACCCCAGACCTTCAGCTTAGCGAGCAAGCGTCTTACTCACTGAGCCACTGTGGCTCCCTCTTTAACAATTGGAACACACATCCTATAAGACTAGTGATAGTAGCTAATGAACTTTTCAGTGAGTATTTCATAATAAAAATTTGTATCAGGTGTCTACAAGATAAGGCTTACTCTGCCTGGCGTCATACCCGTCATTGCTTGCCAACAAACAGGAAGGGAAAAACAAAACCCAATTTCAAAAGTTCAAGAGGGGTAACTGGTGAAAATTTAAACAACTGAAAGGAGAGAACTGATCACAAAAGTTATTTTATGTTAAGACATTTTGTTCACGACCCCAGCAATGAAGAGCATTCAACTCAACTTAGCCAATAAATAATAACATTTATCTGCAAATGAAGATGTAAACATTATGAGTTAGAAATGATTATACTGGAATTGATACATAGGCTACATACATATATAGCTGAGGTATAGACAAACAAATAAGACAATTATATACATTGGTGCATTTTCATTAACATGTATACACGAACATATAATTGAGCATTTCGACAGGCTATCAATTTTTTTTTTTGCATTTTAGAATACATAAAGAGAGATAAACACATTTTTTACCTTGACAGTATCTATTGTATAAGTATATGATTTCATTAATTTCAGTCAAATAATATTTCATATAAAAATATTCTGATATCATAAGTGTAGTGACTGGTTTTTAATATGTTGGATTCTTATATAAATATTAGGGACAGGTTCGCCATTTTTGGAAGGTTTAATATTTATTTGAATATATGTAATTAGTCTGCTGAAGTAATAGAAATGTACATTAATCGCAAAATCCCTTCAAAAATACCCCAAACCATGAATTTCTACATACATCTGCATGTCTTTTCTGTATAGGGCAGAGTCTCAAGTAAAGACAACTCGTCATTTTAACTTTCAAACACATGAATTTGAGCGCTCAATTCAACTGTGAGTGGTAAACAGTATTACTGATTAGCTTAACTAAAAAATTCCCGTTTCTAAGGTACGATTGACCAAACAGATGGCGAATCTGTTCCTTTAAATGATTTACAGTTTAATGAGATGATATTCTATATATTCGGATATTACAATAATAAAATATTTTTATTGTTTTAGTAGTTATCAATTCATCAATTGTAGAGCGAAACTCTAAGTAAAAACATGATCCAAGGTCTGTTTTATATTTGTATTCGGATATTATAATAGGTCCACTGACTAACTATCAATATTCTAGATACAAATATAAATAATGATATATACATGAAATAATATTCATATTCTGATATCATAAGTCTAAAGCAGTGATTCATATTTAATTTCTTGGTATATTTTCATAGTCTTTTACACCTCCAGAAGTATGTTGACTGTTCTCATAAACTCCAGGACGAGTATTTAAATCTTCATATGTTCTTTCTGTAAAAAAAAGAAAACCTTTAATAATTATATTAAGTTATTATCGAACCGGTACTGGGGTTTCTTTAAAGCTGCAGAACGCTAGAGGAACGGTTTGGGACATAAAAGTACTTCTTATGTTATATTGTAAAGATCTTCTATCAAAAATATTTAAAACGTGACACTTAATTCGGTTACTACAATGTTCCTGGGTTACTATCCTCATTACTCCAATCGGTGCAGGCGTAAAATGAATAATAATAACAATTTAAATTATTAATAGTTTCAACATTACAAAAGCTAATGAGTTTTTCGACCATTTTTGGTCTGAGACACAATACGATGAAACAAAAAATAAACATAAAGCGATATACAGGTAAACACATAAAACGGGCATACAACAGAAATATGGAACAATTCAACTATTTTAAATACAGCAATAAATATGTAAAAGATAAACAGCGTACAGTAAAACATTAAAACACAAATATACATCAATTTGCAGGTAAGATTTCACTCTTGTTTTCCACATTATATGCCAAATAATTCCCAAGGGCAACTTCTATAAAATTAACAGTCATTATAAAATTAAACTGGTGAAAATCAGAGATATGATAAAAACTAGAATTGAAATTGCAAAATAAATTCGAATTAATTACTCTACGGGGTGTAACCAAAGATCTTCTGAATCCATGTTGCTTTCATTGTCACTTACTTTTGGTTTTACGTGTATTCTACCTAGTGATTAAAAATGAAAAGCATGGCTAGTTATATCATATGTGAGTAGCAGGAATAGCTATACCATATTTGAACAGCGTGGATAGTTATATTATGCGTGGAAAGCATGGTTATTCTTTATATTGTAATCATTATATTATTTTCATTATAAAATGTAATTACCTTCGAGATTTCTATTAGAAAACGTGGCATAACTGAAAAGGTACGCAATTTCATAAGTATAATGAACAATTTTTTTCATCAGGTTTGATCACAAAATTCTCGAGATATAAGAACTTTTATCTAGTAAATATTCACTGTTCTGGAATAGTTAAATGAAACAAAGAAGGTGTTATAACCCACCTTTCTTCTGGTAATTTCTTCTTCGCTACAAAATAGAATAATATAAAATCAGATTGAATTTATATTAAGAGCAATATAATAATTTGTTAAACCAACTGACAGGACCAAATATTAACAATCCCGAATACATTTTAGAAGTGAAATCCGACATCCGACCACTCTTCAATCAATCGCATACGTTGAACGTTGACATTATTCCGTATATACCAATCTAAAAACACCTTAATGTCAAGCTAATAGTCTAATGCCTTGACTGCAATAGTCACATTTCTTGTATCGTAAGATAGCAGCAATCTGAATGGATTTACGCTAGTGAACACAGCCAGTAAGAGCTTATGGCTTACAGCTTTTCTGTCTAGAGATCTTATTGGTTGTACTCAGTGGCGTACAATCCAATCAAATTGCTGCATTTACAAACTTCGGTGACACATATACGAACATGTAGTGTTCGAAATGCGCGCCATTCCTTCAATTAATATACCTCAAATATACTTTAATATTTTCTCTGAAAATTTCGATATCTGAAGGGAATACGTTGATGTTGTCTCTGACACTAATCTGGTCGCAGCTGTGCGTAGAAAAAGCAGGACTGGATCATTTAGGCTGTTGATCCAGTCCTTATGGTTCTATAACATACATTTAGTTGACTTTTCCCGTTTCTGAGACCAAGGTACGAATGACACAGGGAAATGGTGCCTGTATAACATTTAAAACTTCTCTAAAATCTAGCATGTTTTACCACTGTCCATAACACGGTGATAACGGTATTCATAAGCCTAGCAACGATTAGAAAAAAAAAACGAAGTTAAACTCCTTTCCATTCAATTATTCTTGCGAATTTTAGTAACACTGTAGTAACCAAACGACGAATATTTTACTTACATCGTTTAATCACAATAACAACCACAATAACTATTATTATAATAACTAAATCGCCAGCAACAATACCACCAATAACAGCAGGAATATTTAATTCTGATGTTGGTTCAGGAGATTGGTGGGTATCTATAAGAATTCAATATGCATTTGCCATACATACGGAATCTGCAAACTGCAAATCAACCCAAAGGCCCCAGAAGATCTATGAAAACAAAGTAAACTAGCAAACTTGTTTTCCATTTTATACTGGTCACATTTGCCCGACTGTCAATTGTAAGAAACGACGGCAATCATTATTCAAGATGGCTACCACATTCACAGCCAGTTTTTGCACGATGTTCTGTTATCTGCCACACTACAATGATCTCCTGACGTGACGTGTCAATTTGGCAGCAATTGCAAATTCTAAATTTAACTCACCGCTATCGATAATCTTTATAGTGAAACTTTTATCATCACCTATACTATTATTAACAGTTACAATGTAGTTACCAAATGATGATTGTTGTATTGTGACTGTTAAACTTGAAATATAATTATTGGTAGCTACTTGTTGAGTTGTATCTGGTGTTAATCCTTGTCCTGTTGATTCTTGTATCCATTTAAAACTAGGTGTAGGATAGGCTATAACATCAATAAGTAATGTAACTTCTTCACCTATTCTATTCCTTACTTCATCTTTTAAATCACCATTTATTCGGGGTAAGCCTAACACAAAACATCATAGTAAGTTTCAAATTATTAAATATGTACATGTACTTGCATTAAATATTTAATGTCATTGGCTGTAATTGTAATGGTTTTAGTATACTGACTAAATGTAACTTACATCTAATATTTAACGGTAAAGATTTAGTAGTTGACTGACCAATACCATTATTAGCTGTACATGTATAGATTATAGTATACTGACTGAATATATACTTACATCTAATATTTAACGGTAAAGATTTAGTAGTTGATTGACCAATACCATTATTAGCTGTACATGTATAGATTCCTGTATCCTGACATTTAGCTTGAGTTAATGTCCACTGTTGACCGGTGTTAGTATCAGTACTAATAGAAGATGACCAGGTTATAGTAGATACTGGTTTACTATCAACATTACAGTTAAACATAACATCAGAACCTTCACCTATTTCGTTATTTACAGCATTGGATGTTATACTTGCTATATCTGGTGGATCTGAGAAGTAGAATTTAGTTACACACTTCGAGTATAGTCTGCGTCAATTTTCAGAAAACTATTCTTTGCTACAAACAAAGTTTTTGTTTTACTTGTTATAATTTTTCACATCATTGTTAGCGTTATTTATCACCTAAATATATATTTTTTTGCATTTTTCATCTTGCTTTATATATCCCCAAACCCAGTTTGACTTATTTGCATAATTTGATCCCAACATTTTCACGCTAGCATATACAGTTTCCTCCTGTTACATCCGCTGTACATTCCCTTCTAACCCCAAGTTATTTTCATTATGCTCCCCAACTACAACAACCACTGGCAAGAAGCCAGAAATAGAAACACTAATCGTCAACCAAACCAATATCACGTACCCTACAACGGCCCTGTCTTCCATCGACCTCTACCACCTACCAATCGCCGACCACCAACCAACCCATCCAGCTATACCCCACCCCATCGCCGACCTACCTACAACACAGCCTACCAATCAAGAGGTAACCATCGACCTGACCAACAACAGAAACGACTACCAGCCCACCGACGCCAACCAGTCCCCACTCATAAGGAGGAAGAACCCTTTGTGAAGGTGTTCTTCCAAGGTTTGCAGTGCCTCCATCATTTGGCAATCCTTACCCTTCAACAGCAAGGCCAACCAGCGTTTACCTTCAAACGCAAAGTCTCTGAGTTGGATAGTTTTATCTGTCCAGCAATGAAAACATCAGCTGTCGACGCAAATATTAGATCCCTCAATCGGACATGGCTCTGTAAGGTTACGCAGGTCCTGATCGACCATTACCAAACCACACTTCAAGAGAAGCTGACCACCATTCGTACCAAGTCTTTATCATCACCTGCCGTCGACCGCATCGTTTCTCATGCCCTGTCCTGGGCCCGTCGCTCCTATGGGAAACGTCTCACTCAAGCTGTAATTTCCAAATTCTACCAAACAATCAACGAAACAAAAACCAGAGTAACCATATCTCTACCAACTGAAATGGACACAACACCTGCACCATCTAGAGCTACCACGCTGCCGAACCAAACCCCTAAACGAGCCCGAAGTTCACCTACTCCTAGTCCAGCAGACATAGGTAAACGCTCTCGTAGAGAGGGCACACCCCTTCTCTTTTCACTTTCAGACTCGTCTTCCCCTTCCACACCATCTGAATCTTCACCACGTGATCCAGGATCCGCCAACCTTTCTTCCTTCTGTGCGTTTTTGGACCAGCAAACCACCCCTCAGTCTCCATCCAAGTCGAGACGTGTATCCAGACCTTCCCCTCCTCGAACCAGATCCCAGTCCGTTCCCAATGCTACAATTCTAACAACTACCAAACCAGTACCAATCACACCGTCGACGACCATTATATCCGCTACCAAACCGTATTATCA